TTGGCATAAAAATACCAATTATTCTAAGTTACAGTTTTCTAATAAATGTGGCATAGAACTTAACCATTTTTAACCAGAAATATAGAATGTAGTTTATCTATCTAAAAACATTTGTTACCCGAAAGGTTACCATTTTGAGAATCTTGTCTTTAGACAGAGGACAAAAAAAACTCTGTCACCCATAAAATATGTAATTATTGGGAGGTAATCATGCTTGCATATTGGCAATATAATGTTGGCACTTTGTCAAATGTAGTTCATTAAATAATGGATAATACTTTGTTCAGGACAGGTATCCCTCTTGTTCTGAGGCATTCTCTACAGTCCATAAAATAAAATTATTTTATGACTCTAGTATTCACTAAGCAAAAAAAAATCATAAATATCATCAATAATCTTTGACCTTCAACTGTAAGAAACAAGTTGCAATATTTCAAATGTTCCACAATCTAGATGACTACTATATAATATAAAGGGAAATAGATAAGGTCATTTGAGAGAAACACTTTCAAAAAGCTAAAGTGGAATTCAAATTAACCCATTGTATCTCTTTGTACTAGTAATGTACAATTATATTCTCTTTTAAAATAATCTAATATAAAATTCTTCCATGTTGTACTAAATACATCTAGATAAACATTATTTATCCATAAATAAATTTCTTAACATGAATATAGTGCTTCTATAAAATATGTTAATTTTGATTTTAATAATTTATAATGATCTGATAATGGAGAAAGATATTCTTTTTAAATCATTATTGATAATCAGTCTATTATTGACATATACTTTAATAACCTTGATACTTTTAAATAACACTAAACATTTTGCAAAATTTACTTCAATTTGAGTTTGTCAAATATTTTCTTATTATTATTTTGGAAATAGAGATTTTGTAGGAGTAGTACCACAGAAGTGAGTCACTATTTTCATTGTTACTAGCAAAGGATGCATGCTATCAATAAAACTTATTCCTGGTGATGTTAACTTTGATTACTTTATTGTTGTAGTGACTATCATTTATTGTAAAGACATTATAGGCAGAGAGAACAAAATAACTCAAAGCCCCAAGGCACGAGTATGATGTGTGTGCAAGAAACTGCAAGGAGACCAGTGTGGTTGGAAAGGAGTGAGAGAAAAATGACAAAGAGAATTTTTAAAGGAGAAGAGATGAAGCTACAGCTCAGGTAAGGGTGCTATGAGAAATTTTAAGGTCTTTAGCATTTACTTTATGGATAATTGTGGAAACATTGTTACATTTTTCAAAGATTACTTTGGGTACAGATGAGATAAAGATAATTTGGACTAGGGTGAATAGTGGTGGTGATAACTACCACTTTTTCATATTTTGAAGTTAGAATCAACAGTATTTTATGATGGATTAGACATAGTGTAAGAAAAAAAATTAAAGACATGGAGGACACCAAGATAATTTCAGTCTCAGCAAAAGAATGGAGACTTAGGAGACTGCGGGGTGAGCAGGTATAATAGGACACAGGTCAGACATTTGGTTTGGGGTACATTAAGGCTCACCTGCCAGTTAGACATACGAGTGGAAATACAGGGTAGGTAGTTGTATATAAAAGTTACAAAAGTGAGGGCTAGAGATATAAATTTAAAATTATTACTATTTATCTACCATTAACAAGCGAAATCTGAATAAAAATGATATGCTATCTTTGGTTAGAATCCTTCAAAGGTAGAGAACTGACACTCCAAGTTACCTTCTCACGTTCAAGCATAACTTTGAATCTCATTTTGAGATGGTGGCACCTCAGGATCGTGAGCCTCTGCCAGTCTAAGTCTCTGCTAGTGAAAAGCAGGGTTGATCTATCAACCCTCACTGCATGTGATTAGCTGAGAAAGAGAAGTAAGTTTGTTGTATAGGTCGATTGAATGGGGACTTAATATACCTGATTAATTCATGCAGATGGCACTTAAAACTGTAGATTTAATTTTAATGAGATCACCTATGGATTAAGTGAAGATAAAAATAAAAAAGGTCCAAGTACTGGATTCTGAGACACTTCAATGTTAGGAAAATAAGATAATGAAGATAAATTAAGGTGAAATAGCCTAAAAATCATATGAGCAAAATGCACCTACAAAATCAATATGTACCAATATATTACAGATCATGGAGCCATATAATTTTTCTTTGGCTACTGTGGTTTTATAAGAGTTAGTGATATTATAAAATCTTGAGAGAGAGAGAGAGAGAAAAGAAGAGAGAGCGAGAGATAGAAAAAGAGAAAGGAAGAAGAGAGAAAGTCACTTTACTACTCAATCATAACAAAAGAAGAACTACTGCCATTTGTGACAACATGGACAGACCTTGATAATGTTAGGCTAAGAAAAATAAGTCAGAAAAAGCTAAAAACCATATTATTTTACCCACTTGTGGAATATAAACCTACAACTCATAGACACTGACAACAGTAAGTGATTCCTAGAAGGAAAGGGGTGGGGGATAATAAAAGGTAAAGGGGACCACATGGATAGTGATGGAAGATGATATAACTTTGTGTGGTGGGCACACAAGGCAATATACACATCACGTATCAGAAAGGTACACTTGAAACCTATATGATCTTATTAACCAATGTTACCCTAATAAATTTTATTAAAATAAATTTAAAAAGTTAATTTGTTGGAGTGTTGAAGGAAGAGCATACATAAATGGATCAGTTTAAGAATTAGAGGAGAAGAATTAGAAACAACAGGAAAAAAACCTTATCCAACAAACTTAGCTCCGATATGAAGAAAGTTAGCTTGGTATCTATAGAGTCAAATGTGGTTGAAAGACATTTGTTTTAATGACAATATATGTCGTCTCAAATCTTTGTACACACTTTATGCATCACTGCCTTTAACAGTGGAAATGTTATAAAATAATAAAACTATTTTTATTTTTAAGTAATATTTTCATGCTTAGTTATTTCTGTTTTCATATAATGACTCAAAATCGACTGTCTTAATGAATAATAAAAATGTATACTTTTAATAGTGAACTTCTTGTTGTCTTTTGGTCTCGTCCCCTGTGAAGAAGTGATTAACATTACATGACATGAAGCAATTTGTCTAAAATTATAGAATTCATTAGAAATATAAATTGACATTCGTATTCCTTTTTTAAGTAAAGTTTAGATGCTTGAAGGTAAAAATAAAGAGTCAATGAAATGAAGCTGAAGTAGGTTGCAGCTATTAGGTGATGGAAGTTTAAATTTTGTATACCTTTAAATGTGGTGATTGAGGATCAATGAAGGTACTATGCTTTTTAAAAAAAAGTTAAGGGACTGAAGGAAGTTAGACTTTGGTCAAATAGTAAAACAAAGAGTGACTAAAAAGGAAAAACTTGGGTACTTAAATGCAGAACATTTTTTTGCCGTTTAAAAAACTCAATTATTTTTTATACACATTAATTATATGTTCATGGGGTTTGCTAAGTGAATTCTTGCTTTAGTGAGTTTTTTCTATAATAGTCCTCTACAGAAGCTTTCTAATCTCTATATCACATTTTTACAAATCACTTAACATCTCATTCCTTCACATCACTCAAATCTCTGCTCAAAAATTAGCTCTTCTGACCAGCCCATCTTCAACAACAAAAGTTCTCTGCCCCTCAAACAAGCCCAGTCACTCTATGTTCCATATTCTATTTTGTAAAATTTCTAACATTAAGCATTTTACACACACCTAAGGATACACACATATCCATGCATTATGTACACATTTATATATGATAAATATATGCATATAAATATAAATAATATATAAAATAAATATATATTATATATTATATATTATGTATATATGAAACAGTTACACATATTAGGTTGGCAAAAAGATTCATCTAGTTTTTTCCATAAAAGACTCATTTTTCAATTTTAACATTAACTTTTTTGATTTGTATATATTGAGTATTTCACTATCTCCCACATGGTAAAATATGTTTTTCCAGTAACACACATTTATTGGAGCAGAGTTTTTGTGGCTCAGCTTAGCTGGATCCTCTGCTCATGGTCTCATGAGGCTGTAATTCAAGGAGATGGTTGGGCTATGTTCTCATTCTGGGGCTCAAGTGATGATGGGACTGTATCTGAGCTCAGGTGGTTGTTGGCAACATTTAGTTCTTTGCCAGACTCAGGGTCTTGGTTTCCTGCTGGTTGTTGACTGGAGGTTTTTCTCAGCTCATTGTCACATGGGCTGTTCCAGTCTGGTAGCCCACAACATAGCAGCTGGATTCTCCAAAGCAGCCATGAAAAGAGTGTCTTAGTAAGACAGGTTTACAATCTTATCTAATGATTACAAACATCCCATCCTCTTTGCCATATTCTATTGCTTAGAAACAAGTCCTGGCCTCAGTCAATGTTTCTATTTGATTGTTATCAACTTCAACTGCTCTACCAGTTCAGGAAAAAATCTCCAGCACAAAACTTCACAGACTACCTTCAACTCATTTGATCAGTTACAGAAAGTTTTCCATATATTGCACAAATATTTTTTTTGCTTTTCAGTTGCATTTCTACTTTTCTTGAAATAGTAAAGCATAATATGCCAACAATGTTGCATATTTTCTTCCATCTTCAATATTAAAATAGCTACACAAAAATGAACAAATGTTGATTTTTTTCAATGCACACTAATATGACAGCTATCACAATGCAATCTAACCAAATTATTTCAAAGGAAGTTAATGACAACTAAATCTTACTAGAGCCATTTTAAGAGAAAAAAACTTTTTGGCCAACTCGATTCGAATATATAATTTCGAAAATGGTAATGTGTGTTAGTAAGGTGTTATCTATTTTTTAAAATTTTCCAGAGTTTTAAAATAATTTTACTATAATTTAATAATTGTAATAAGTTGTAGCCTCCTTCTGTTATAATAACATGCTTGTTCTTTTTAATATGCCTTGTATTTTTTTTGCTAAATGAAATAAAGAAATTAAGTTGTTGTCTCAATATTATGTCTAGACTTCTTAAAATAAATACGTTTGATACTTACCTGGCAGGGGAAGTACTATGATCTCGAAGGTGGATTTTCCAGGGTGAGGCTTATCCATTGCACTCTGGATGCGCTGTCCCCTGAGATTTCCCCAAATGTGGGAAACTCAGCTGCATAATTCATGGTAGTGGGGGACTGCTTGCACACTCTGCCCTGGATAAATAAATAAATGCATAAATAAACTCATACATTTGTATATTAAAAAGTTTGTAAAAAAGGTAATAACAGTACATTTCTATTTCAGTTTTCTTCCTGATTCTTATGGTTTCCTAGGGTACTCATCTAAAAATATTTTTATTAAAGTTTTTATCATTGCAGAGAATTGTAGAATTTATGACATAAGCTATAGATCTTAAAATTTTCAAATGTTTTAAAATAACAGACAAATGATCAAAGTTCTTGGTCAAGGTTAGACGGAGTATTTTCTAAACTAAAGTCTTAGTTCAGAAAAAGTTTATTAAAACATAATTTATTTAAAATTGCATAATACAGATACTGTATAATGGACTATATAGACCATGTTAATGTTAAGCACTGCCTTTGACATATGTAAATAATACCCGCTCTGGGACTTCTGGCCAAGATGGAGGCATAGGTAGATATGCTTCACTTCCTCACACAACCAAAAAAAGGACAACAACCATTTAAAAAAGAAAAAGCAACTGCAACTGCCAGAAAAATCAAACTGTATGGAAGCACTACAACCAAGGAGTTAAAAAAGAAACATTTACTCAGACTGGTAGGAGGGGCAGAGATGGGCAGCCAGGGCAGAGAGGACACAAAACAGTGAAGGCTAGCAGACCTTGTGGTCCACATTTGCATGTGGATAAACTGGGAGGAAAAACTGGGTAGTGAGAGAGACCATGCAACTCAGGATTCCAGCACAGGAAACTAAAGCCTCAAAACCTCTGGCTGTAAAAATCTGTGGGAGCTGTGGTGGTGGGAGAAACTCCCAGTCTCACAAGCAAGTCTGTTGGAGGGAACCATGGGGTCCTAGAAAGCACACAAACCCACCCACCTGGGAATCAGCAATAGAGGTGATCGATTTGCTTGTGGGTAGTGGGGGAAGGGACTGAAAATGGAGCTAGAGCCAAGGAAGCCAAAGCATTTTTTCCTCTCTGACCCTGACCCCGCACACTGTACCACAACATAAAAAACTGTGTCGCCCCACCCTGGTGAATACTTAAGGCTCCTCTCCTTACAACTTGACAGGTGCACTGAGACAAAGAAATATGGCTCAAATGAAAGAACAGACCAAAACTCCAGAAAAACAACTAAGTGATGAGAAGATAGCCAAGCTATCAGATGCACAGTTCAAAACACTAGTAATCAGGATGCTCACAGAAATGATTGAGTATGGATGCAAAATAGAGGAGGAAGTGAAGGTTATTCAATAAAGAAAAAAGGTTATTTTCTTTATTGAAATAAAGAAAATATACAGGGAACCAACAGTGAAGGTAAGGAAAACAGGACTCAAATCAACAATTTGGAACAGAAGGAAGAAATAAACATTCAACCAGAACAAAATGAAGAAACAAGAATTCAAAAAATTGAGGAGAAGCTTAGGAATCTCTGGGACAACTTTAAACATTTCAACATCTGAATCATAGGGGTGCCAGAAGGAAAAGAGGAAGACCAAGAAACTGAAAACTTATTAGAGCAAATAATGAAGGAAAACTTCCCCAATCCACTGCAGGAAATAGACATACAAGTTCAGGAAGCTCAGAGAATTCCAAAGAAATTGGAACCAAGGAGAAACACACCAAGACACATCATAATTACATTAGCCAAGGTTAAAGATAAGGAGAGAATCTTAAAAGCTGTAAAAGAAAAGGAGAGAGTTACTGAAAAGGAGTTACCATAAGACTATTCGCTGATTTCTTAAAAGAAATTGTAGGGCTAGAAGGGGCTGAAAAGAAGTATTTGAAGTCATGAAAGGCAAGAATCTAGATGCAATATTACTCAACCTGGTAAAGTTATCATTTAGAATAGAAGGGCAGATAAAGTGCTTCCAAGATGAAGTAAAGTTAAAGGAGTTGATCATCATCAAGTTCTTATTATATGAAATGTTAAAGGGGCCTATCTAAGAAAAAGAAGAAGATCAAATATATAAACAGTAAAATGACAACAAACATAATTATCAACAACCAAACATTAAAAAAACTGAAAAAACAACTAGAACAGGAACAGAATCACAGAAATGGAGATCACATGGAGGGGTGTCAGTGGTAAGGGGGTCCGGGGAGAATGGGGCAAAAGGTACAGAGAATAAGAAGCATAATTGGTATGTTCAAAATATACAGGGAGGTTAGAATAGTATAAGAAATGGAGAAGCAAAAGAATGCATGGACACGAATTAAGGAAGGGGGATGTTGGAGGAGGGGAGACAGGGTCGGCAGCCAAAGGGGGGAAAAATGGGACAGCTGTAATAACATAATCAATAAAATAAACTTAAAAAACACCTGCTCTGTATGTACTGATACTATATTCAAAGAAAACACAGAATACATATTATTTTTATAAAGAATCTGTATTTTATTAAATGTGATGTGTTTTAAGTTCAAAGTAATTATGTTAATGTAATTACTTTTTCAATTTTCCATTATAATTATATTTGAGTGCCGTTTTTAAGAAATGTATAATTCCATTATAATGTATACTTAATAAACTCTTGATACTATGTTCTTCACTGCACCTAAATCACATCTGGGGAGGAAATTAGGAATTTAGGAAAATGAATTACTATATACCAATATAATTTTGTTTATTTATTTTTGAATCTTTTTTTACTTTTCAGTTATAGTTAATATACATTATTATATTAGTTTCATGTGTACATCCATTCATTAGACATTACATAACTAAGTGCTCATCCTGATAAATCTCACACTCATCTGACACCACACACAGTCACTAGAATATTATTGACTATATTCCCTATGTCGTACTCTACATCCCAATGACTTCTGTAACAACCAATTTGTACTTCTTAATCCCTTCACCTTTTTCACTCATCCCCCTGATCTCCCTCCCATCTGGAAAGTGGGTGAGGAGGCAGGACTCAATCTTCATTCCAATGTTTCTTAATTTTTTCTATATATAACTACTTTACCATCAAAATAGGATATTATTTGCATGGGAATTGCTAGTGTTTGGGTGTTGCAAATTAACTAAATGTTATTCCATTACCCCCTAATATATGCAAAGGATTAGAACAGAAACAGTGATTTCCAACTATGAAAAAGAAAAATTCTTCACTGTTACTCACATTGGGTAACTTAATCACATGTGGAAAAAAACAATAATCTTATTATTTTGACAAGTATACGTTTTCTAAAAATGCCCCAGACTTAGTGTCATGGGAGAGAAACTTTAGTCTAAACGGGGATGGCTTTTGAACATATATAGAGGCTTAGGGGAGAGTAGAAGCAATGAGAGGTAACATGTGCTATGTAGAAGATTTTAGAGTTATCTCCATGTTGCCAAGTGCAAAGTGGGAGGCTGCGAGTGGTCAAAGGTCAAATTGAAGAACTACCCAGACGTATGTTTATCATTCATTGACAATCCCTGAAACTTAAAATTCATCTATAAGTAATAAAGTGTCATTTATTATTTGTAATTTATTTGGATTTTTAAAGGTACATGTTTAATAAAATGCATTTCTTTAAAAAGGTAAATAATAAAAAACCATAGTCATGTGTATACACTATTAAATAACTTCATTTTATAAATCTTCACAACTATAAAATCAATATAGATTATTTTATACCTTTTCAATTGTTTAAATATATACATGAAGTTTTACACAAGTTTAAATAAAAACATTGTGTGTTTCTCTGTGTTTCACTTTAATGTGGTATTTTATTAAAAGTACAGATAGTTGGCTCAATAATATTAAATATTTAAAGTATGAGTCCAATGGTTTTTGAAAAATAGATTTGGTTTTAACAATTCAAGAGGAAGAGAAACAAGTTTGAAAATGTAGGTAGAAACTTCTGTTTCTAAGGGAGATAGAACAGTTAAGAGGCCAGTGCTTAGAGTAAAACAACTAGAATATTTGTGTAACATCCAGACATTTGAAGGTGGACAGTTATGCAGTTAATAAGCAATTGAAGGGCTAAGACATCAGCACAAGGAAATCATCCCAGAGTTTCTCTGACTTATGCAGCTCCTTTTACTCTGTGAAGATGCTGATTTAAAGTGCTGACCAGATATGTCTGAGACCTCGGGAATATAAAACCCATGAGACACAGTTGCTAAGAATAAAGAAACCAGGGAGTGAGATGTGGATACTTGAAGTTCCTGGTAGATTCCATAGTTGTTGAGGCAGAAGTAAAATTTATGGAATTTCCATCTATGAAAGAGTAACTGTATAAGACCTGAACTCCAGATTAAATAAGTAGAAAGCTGGGGAAAATATACAGCCACTGCTTTTATATATATATTTAGCAACAGGCAGTGCAGGGCTGTGATCTCTGAGAAAAAGAAAATCAATGAGATGAGTCCTACCATTATAATATATGTTTAATAAACTCATCACCTTGTCTTGCTGCTTAGAGATAATTGAGCAGTCATGGCAAAGAGATGGCAACTGAAACAGAGTCTAGGAGTTTTGATGAGTTGAAGAGATTTAAGGAAGAATGTGACAGCTAGAATTTTCAAATAGAGAGAGCTATGTAGGGAAGGAGCTTCATAAATCTGCTTGAAAGCCTGTTACATGTTTGGCTGAATACCAAAAGTCTGTTAGATAGAACTCTAGAAGGCCAGGCAAAGAGCAACTACCATCTGAGAAAAAAATCAGTGGGAAGTTGAAAGCTGGAAAATTCTCTAAGCTCTCCTAGGACTGTGAATCATTCAAATTTAATACTCAGATTGGGGTATTTAGAAGATATTTTCACGGGTTCACATTATGATAGGGGGTTTAAAATAGCCCTAAAGAGCACTCTAGATACACTGTAAAAAAAAAACAACTAAAAATGAGCTTCAGAAGATCAAGCTGATATACGAATAACAAATCATATAACGTATGGTATATATTTAAAATAAGAGCTTTTTGTTATAGTTATTACATTATATTAACACTTGTTGGTTGGCATTATTAAGACTTGCTTCTGTAGTAATAAAAAAAACCTAATAAAGATTTTTGAAGTTATGGT